TTGATCTAATCTTGCATTGTTTGATCTTTAAATGTGAGAACCCAAGGAAAGTACTTGGAAATAAGAGACAACATGGAATTGGCACACAAATTACTAGACAAGTATCAAGAGAAAGCATTGATTATTTTGCTGGATTCAAAGACACTCACATTATAAGGAGGATGATTACAATGTTGAATGATAAAACATCAAAACAGTTTAGAAACTGGATACATTTAATTTGATAGGTTTTAAAAGCATTTATCAAATTAAATGTTTCTGGCATCTAAACTATTTGAATAGTGTGAAATATGGAACATATAAAACCACAAAAAAAGCTTGGTTGGCTTGGAGTTTTGGAGTTTAGATGTCAAACGATAATTTACTAAATATAAAGGAAGGGTCCAACCTGTGTCCTTGAGTCTAGGTTTTACTAGATTAATGGAGTTTAATGAGCTAAACCAGAAGTGCTTGAATTTTTGTCTGCTCTCTTTATTTCTGATGCATTGGTTGTTTGAAGTGCATATATGGGAGGCCTTTTTGAATTGTTTCTAATAAAAAGTTCAGAGGGGAAATGTTTTCCCAGCATACAATAGGAATATCTGCCCGTTTGGAATGTCGTTGGACTTGTTTTCATAAATTCCATTTTAGTTTCTTTGCATACCTGTTGTGCAGCACAGCAGATACTCAAACTTCTTTCAACAATTAATAAATAATAAATAAATGAATTATTATTAATAATTTTTGTTGTTCGAATATCATTTTTTAGTTGCATATTTTTTGTAAATAACAAGCTTATTAACAAACACACCCAAACAACCTTAGAATGCAGCAATACTTTAATTACTAAAACATTTTTGGTCATTTTAATGACCTTCTTCAAGTAGAATACATAACAGAATGCCATCCAGAAGTTTAAACAATAACATTATTGAATACAGATTCAAATATTGTGATAACTTCGAACATATTCAAAAATAATAACATAAAATATATAGTGAAAGGAATACAAGCAATTATTTATTGTAACATCATCACAATGCAAAGCTGCAATTTTTAATCATATTTTTAATATAATTCATTTAAAATATATGCTATCTATCTCAAATTAGTACTGTAGTGTCTTGTTCCTATACATCAGTGTTTTTCAACCTGTGGGTTGCAACCCTCAAGGGAGTTGCAAAGCCTTACATGGAGGGTCGCAGGTAAAAGAAAAAGACAAGTGTTTGTAGGTTCTACACTACAATAAAAAAAAAAAAAAAAACAGTTTCAGTGAGAAGGCTATGCCTGTTTATTTTAAAGTACAATTGGTTTTTCAATTGATATTTAGGTCTCAACAGAAAGAAAATTAAACATAGTTTTTAAAATCACTGGCATAGTTTTAATATTTCCCTGTCGGTCACCAGAATTTTTTTAACTTGTAAAGGGGTCGCGTATTCAAGAAGGTTGAAAAACACTGCTGTACATCATACTTTTCCATTAGCAATGGAGTCATGCTGGTCATCTATTAACTGGTTTCAGGGGAAGTTTTGAATTGAAATAATATGACTTCTGGTTTGCATCTGAAATTCTTATATAATTAATTGGGACCTCCTGCCACTAAGGTTCCCATGTGTAGTCTTGAATTTAATTTGTCTAACACTGTTCTTGAGATTAAGGAAAGACAGACAACAGTGAAAATTTATAAGTCTACAATTTTTTTAAATTGCAGTCCAACAAACACTAAACAAATAACTACGTTAAATAATAAATAAAGACAAATACGAGTGAACCAATAAACATAAATTTATTGAATTAAAAATGTAAACTGTTCATGATAGCCATTACAGGGCTTCAAGTCACTTAAAGAGTGGGTATTCAAAACAGAACTTCCATGCCATCAAAAGAGAATTTTCATAATAAATTCAATTTTATCAAAAATTGTAATTTGCTTTGAATTTGAGCCAATGTGTTCAATGCAATTATTAATGAACTGTTCAATTTGTCTTCTAATGAATCTGAAGATAAGATATTTTACGTCCCAAAAATGTTTATCATATTAAAACTTCTGCCTATTAAAGTTGCTTGTGTTTTAGGAGCCAGAATTCTGTTGTTATGTTTAAGATATAAATAAAACAGACAAGCTAAACATACTTTTTTATAGCTTATTACAATGGTTTTACAATTTATAATATAGTGTGAAATATAGTGCTGAGCAGCACCTTAATACTTCCAACATATGACTTATTACCATAGCCCCTTTTATATCACTTGTTCTGATATATGACATTATTTTTTATCTTCTAAATTTAAAAGTGCTTTAGCCAATATATTGCACCACCTGATATATTGCTTATTTGATTTGTCTCCCTACATGAGTGATATAATGGGGGTTACTGTACTAAAAGCACAATAACTCTGTATTGATAAAGAAGTAGGAGTGTCGCAAGACAGAAATTATAAAGTTGGAAATGCCACTATTAGGAAAAGGCTAAAAAACTGTCTTAATATATAGAAATCCTTCTATTAAAAACAAAAACTTGAGCTGCTCATTCTAGTTAATACTGTTCATTCAATTTAATAATGATTATTCTGACTAAAAGTAAATTTATCTATGCTGTATTACACTTTATTATTACAATATTGTCTTTCTAAACAAAAAATAACTTAAATAAACCAGTAACAAATTGCTCAACTTCTCTGGCAACATTTAAAATGTTGGTGGTGCCAGCTGTTATCATATTTTATTAAGAAAACTTTTTATATTTTTTAACTATTATAAAATGACAAAAAGCTTAATTTCGAGGGGAGAGATGGGTTTTATAAAAGATTGTAAATGCTAATAACAAGTAAAATTGTCATTAAGTCCGACCCTACTGGAGATACACACAACCCCCATTATCTCCCACCCCCTCAACCTATAACAACCAAAATGTAATAGAATCGATTCCCCTAGTAAACAAACCTCCCTGCAAAATTTCAGAAACTTTCGAGAAAAAGCACAGGAGTTATTGAGCTTAAAAGAGGGTGAACTTTTTGTGTGCCATGCACACATACACTAAGGTCGAGACTACACTACTGTAAAAACAGCGTAAAAACCTCTTGCTGTAAAAGCATTTAATCACGTGACCCTGATATTTTACGCTTGAGCAGGTTGTAAAACCAGCGTAAAAGCGAGTTGAGCAGTGTTCAACTTTCGACGCAAATACGGCCGTAAAACGGTACCATCCAGCAATCAGAAGTCAGTGAAATCTAGGTCATTGCGACACGGTGCAAAAATGGAGGAAAATGAGCTTTTGTGTACATTCCCTCGTGGCTACTCTAGAATAGATCTGGAAAGATTTATCGAAAACATCCAAAAGTATTCGTGTATCTACAACAAGAAGTATCCTGATTATAATAATGTATGCTTAAAACTCGTGATATGGATGGCCAAAGGAAAATCCTTCAATTTAGAGGAGTATATAATGAAAAAAGCTAAGCTTAATAAGTGCTGTATATTATCTTAATTAATAATACGATAATAAAAGTTAATATATGAAAGTAAAGATATTACTTTTACTATGTTTGTAATTAGTACAAAAAAAAAACTCGTAGAATATAATCATTGTCTTTATAACTTCGATAGTACCGTCATCGTTAAAACTTTGCTAGATTGACCTCCACTGCAATCCAAACACAAACACAAATAGGTCACGTGATTAAAAGTTTTTACAGTGAAGGTTTTTACACCCGTTTTTATGCTAGTGAAGTCTTGGCCTAACATCCATACATACAGAAATTATCCCTAAATTTCTTTGCATTTCAAGGTGTCCTAAGTCTAAAATGTAAAAATATTGAGGGGTCAGGTTTTTACTGATTGCCATACTTTCCCTCTGTTATATATAACAGTCAGAGAAGTAAAAATAAATTCGTTTAATATTTATTAATATTTAATATAATTCAGACTCTGAAAATACTCCAAAAATAATAATTATCAAAATATTCAGATTATCTGTTGAATGAACTTTATTTATACTACTAATTAAAGAATCAAGCTAAAGTATTATCTGGCTACATTTTGGTTAATTAAATATACAAATGCAATTTAATTTAGATGAAAGATAGGCGATTAAGTTGCTGTTATTCACTGAAAAGTTAAATTTAATAAAAGATGATGACTTAATTGCTCACCTTTAGTCCAGATTATGTAGCATTTGTATATTTAATTAACCAAAATGTAATCCAATAATAGATCAGTGGCTTAGTTTCTGATATAATTATAGATTGCTGCCATCAAAAACTAATTTAAATGATTATTGCAAACTTTCACGACAGAGGGATCTCTTTTCAACATAAAACGTTATATCTACTCTTAAATGCTGCTTATCTTATTGCATTAATCAATTCAATCGTTTATAATGAATTATATATATTTTTGAACACATTACAAGCCATATATTTTAATTATTTATTCCACAGTTAATATAAATTTTATTATTGATAAAATTGAATATTTTGGAAGATAAGCAGACAGCCTTCATAAATTTCAGCAAAATGATTTAATTAGACATATGCTTTCAGCCTCCTTAATAGACTAGTTTCAAGTTGTGTATTGTTAACTGATTGAATGTAATATTCTTTTATTAATTAATAGAATCTCATTGTGTTATGATGTATGTATGACTCGAATCTGACCTATTAAGGAAGCCAAAAACTTTGTCTAATTTAGTGTTTCCTAAACTTTTTGGTGCATGTATTTTTTACACGTATGTATATATATATTTTATTTGTTTGTTTCAAAATTAATTTTTGTCTCCTGTGTCTTTCAATATCCCTACCACTCTTTCCTTCCAGCATCTCCTTGGGTTTTTTATGTTCTCATGAGGACGGTAGCACCCACTTTAAGAATCACTGGTCTAATTAAATTGTTCTACTGGAATTTCTGAAGATTGTCTGCTTGTTGTTGTATTTTTATTCCAGTTTAGGAAAAGTTTTGAATATTTTGTTAAAGAATCTTTTATGGTTTGATAATTTTTTATAAGCAAATAAATATTTTTCAGAACTGTAGAATTACTTCAAAATGGAACCATTATGAATCAAATTATGCAACCGCACGAAGCACATATACCATATATATTACAAGTAAGTTTCATACGATCTATAACATACATCTTACTTTATATTAATTGACAAAACATATATAAAATTTATTGTACAAATAAATAAATTTAAAAATGAAAGTAAAAATACTTACTGTTTATTAAAGCAATTTTGATTTTATTAATGAATTGCTTAATTAAATTTTAATGTGTTTTTTCTTTTATGTTTGCAAAAAAATTAATTAAATATTGTTAAAGTTATATCAGTTGTAATAAATTTTTTTTCTTTCAGTTTTTCATTGATTACAATTTATATGGAATGGATATGATAAATATTTGTGAAGTAAAATTTCGAAAAAATTTGAATGGAAATTCCCAGAATTCTGTATCGCAAAGTTGGAATACAAGTGATTTGGACCGGTAATATTTTAATGAAATTAATGAGTAGACAATATACAGGTTAAATATATTCAAATTATATATAAAAATTTAATGTTTACATCACCCTAAATTAGGTCAATTATATATACATTTCAACATATGAATTTATTAATGGCTGTTGCTATTAGGGACAAAGGAATAGTCATTATATAACTAATACAATTTTAGTATCTCTGCAAAGAAAATAAACAATTTATTGTATTTTTATGATTGAAAGCACTCTTCCATGAAGATCAACCATTTTGATCTAAAAATAAAGCTAAATAAGCCATGTGATTTAAAAACAAGAATAGTTTATCAAAGGAACCAAAACCAGACAGAAAAAAATGTATTTAGTCATATGCAAGATCCAAATTTGTGTCCTTTATTTATCCTGGCTTCTATTCACTTAGAGCATTTTTCACAATAGTGAAAGAATTAATTTTGTTACTGTTTGGAGTCGTATTTTCACCCCAAACTCAGTTATTGTCAATTAAATTTTGGTTTCTTTGAGTGGACATGTTGTTTATTCATTAGTGTTTATACTTTGATCTTATGCTTGTATCTAAAAAAGTATTTTAGTTAAGTAAAGCTAGTTTAGTTAGCAAAGCAAATTGTTTTTGTTTATAATTTATATTATGGAAAATAAATATAGTTATTGTTTTTAGCAATAAACTAAAGATTTTTTGCTTTTTTGTTAAACTTCCAATTAGATTAGTTTGTTCTTTGGCAGATTTGTGATTTTAATTCTAGTTTTTTAGAACCTATATATATTTCAGATATAATGACAATAAGAATTGTAAGTTATAATGTCTAATAGATGAGCAATTACTGGAGTCATTTGATTGTCTTAGAGGGATGAGCAGCTTTTAACCAGACAAAACAGAGTTTCAATGTCTAAGTTGATGTCTGATGTGTGTCTTATGTGTGTTTGATTTTAAGTGATAAAAGAAACAGTGCACCTGTAACTCCAGTAGTATATTTAATAATTCAAAAGTTTTCAACCTTAATATCATCAGTCTTTCTCAGTGAAGTATGCCAATTTAACATAAAACGAACACACAAAAGTATATCAAATGCAACGAAAGTAATTTAAAAATTAAAAAAGCATTCTAAAGAGAATGCTCACACAGAAAATTAAATTAATAATTAATTAAAAATACAAATAAATGGTATGAAAGTGATAAAAATAAAGATTAATACGAACAAAAGTAATTATAAAAGGACCAAGTCCAAATTACATTTTGTAATGGCCTTCCATGCTGTAGGTAAGGTGTTGGCATCCCTATGATTGATACAAAGCAGTTTTTGGTTGGCTTTAAAAATTTCTAACATTTCTAGGAACTTAATTCTATTAGGGTTCCTAGCAGGTCTAATGATCCTGGCCTCATCACATTTTATCTGTATATTCTGTTGAGCAGCATATGCTGCTAACGTGGTGATATTTATCTTCCTTAATCTTTTGTGCCAAAGTATTATGTCTGGTAGTTTTCACATATGTTAAATTTATGTAAAAATACTGGTTCTCAATTGGAAACCAGCATATTAAAATTAAAAAGTGTTCTCTTTAGAACACTTTAATTTTTAAATTACTTCCGTTGCATTTGATATACGTTCGTATGTTTGTTTTATGTTAAATTGGTGTACTTCACTGAGGAAGGCCTATGATATTAGGTCAAAAACTTTTGAATTATTAAATATACTCTGTTGGAGTTACAGGGTGTACTGTTTCTTTTGTTTCTTATTCTCCAGTTAGAACTTAATTTTAAGTGATTGTTTTTTGTTGGAAAATTTAATTAAAATAAATTAATTTGCAAATATAAATTCCCATATATATGGGAAAATTGTACAAATTAACAAAATTGTTTCACTGTATATATAATTTGGATTCCTGTTATTTTCAGATTAATAGATAGAGAGGGACAAGAGTGTCTAGTAATATTAAATTTTATGATTGTGCTAGATAAAAACATAGTTTTTAATTGCCCAAAAATTATTTTTAGTTCCAAAATTTTATTTTATTATCAAAGTATTATAAGTTATATGAAAGCAAGGGTTTTCCAAAGTCAAAATTGTCTATTTTATTTTGATTGAAGCAAAAGTGAACAAATAAATAATACAATAATTTGTGATGAGAAAAATTTTTTAGTTAATAGATTTCCAGTCAACTTACAGATTCCAATAGTTAGATTAATTATTTTAGAATAAATTCTTTATTTATAACTTAATAATTTTAGTTGTATAAAGTTAAAAATAAAAATGTATATTAATTACTACATAAAATATGACTTTATTGATTTATATATTATTATTACAGTGAAATGCTAACAGGCAATATGCAAAGACAAAGTTCCTGTGAACTTGAAGTGGATTGTTGTGCTAAGGACATTTTAAATAAGCGAGAAGAAACTGGTAAGCAATGAATTATTCATAAACTCTGCACCATTTGTACGTTTACAGCAACCAAATTTATTACCAATACAAGTGTTTTTGGCTAATTTTGTAAGCCTGTATCAGGCCTTCATATAGCTTCCAATCTGATAACATTTAAAATTGGAATGTTACTCATAAATGATGTTATTTATAAAATTTTAAAATATAGAATATAGATAATGCTTATAAATATTCTATATTTTACATCATGTAACCAAATTTATGGTTGCATTTCCAGCAACCATAAATTTGGTTGTCGGAAATGCAGTTTAATAGTTTCAGCTTTTTTTATAATGAATTGACTACTTTAAATAATTATGTATAAATGAATTATGTAAAAATGTGGCGTTTCTTTTTGACTACATCTTGCCTTCATATTAAAAATGTTAAACTAAACTCCTTATTACATAAGACTGTATTAAGTAAGGAGTTAAGTTTAATTTTTAAATTTAAGCTAGTACTTTACTGATGATTTGTTTTATAAAATGGCATAAGATGATATTTTTAAATTTATTTTGAAGATTTTAAAATAAATGATGAATTTCTTTTTCAAATAAGCAGTTTAATTTTAATTTTAAATGTCTTTAGTTTGCATTTAAATTAAAACGTTTCAAAAGTGTCATGATTACTATTTAAAATTGCTTAATTTATATGCAAACCGAGGAGGATTATATTAAAACTAAAATTCATATTTACAAAAGGAATTGATTAATTTAAAATTAATGACTCTTTTTACAAAAATTTCGAAACAGTATAAAATGTCTTTATAAAGTTGAGATTTGAATGATTTTGCAGTTTTAAGTAGAACATTATTTATCAAATAGCTACTACAACAAAGATGGCATCTGACATAATAATAGTTATTATTATTTTATTAAAATTATTATTAATAATAATTTTTAAATAAAAAAAATAATTTCTAACAGCTAGTTTGAAAAAGATTTTTTAAAAATGCTTTATAATATTTAAAATAGATTAAATATGTGCATAATTTTAATTTTGAATTTTCATTTCATCATTGCAAGTAAGCTAAAAAGAGATTAGATATTAATTCTTTTTACCTCTATGTCCTTTCTCTTATCAATTTCTGTTTGTATCTTTGTCTATTTGGATCTTGTTTATTAATAGGAATTATTACACTATGTAGTTTCTGATTAGCAAATAGAGGTGATCTTAGTCAAAAAATCAAAACAATAATAAATCTTATTAATAAACATGATCCAAGTAGACAAGGATAAAAACAGAAATTGACACAGATTAGATATTGAAATGCTTACATTTACAAATAGGTTGTTGTTAAAAAAAAATTTTAATACTAGTTTCAAACATTATTTAGTACTAGATGGTTCTAACAATTGCTTTTTGAACAAATTGATAATGTTTCATTCAACATTATTAAATTTCCATACATAGTACCACCTACAAGGAACGACTTGGGTATTTGGAGCACTTGGAGATACACAATGTCGTTAAAAAAATACCACTATAAACTTTTGAGACGTAGAATCCTTCTCCTTGCTCATAGATCGACCCCCCTGATGTGGAAGTCGATCTACGATCTGTAATCTTACACCCCTCTTTTCCTTTCTTTCTCTCTCTCATGTCACCCCTCTTAACACATGTGGCAATCTATGTTTTTTTTTAGCAGCTGCAGTGATTAGTTATCCTTGAAGATGTCTATTTAACATGGGCAAAAACATTAGCTGTTTTACATTTTTGTGCTGGATTTTGGTTTATTTTGTCTTTATTTATTAACTATAACCAGTTTTGAGTGATTGTTTATATTATTAATTTTTATATTTACAATAGAATCTGCTTATAGTAATCACTTTGGTCTTATACTGATAACATTATATAGCATAATTAAATAAGATACTTAGCAAAATTTCTGACTTTATTGACTCCAATATTAGTTAAAAGGACATTTTAAAACAACTGAAAAATGGAAGTAATAATTTTAGTAGGTTATAATATGGATAATTAATTATAGAGATGTTATGTAATGTGGACTAAAGACAGGTGGTTAAGTCACAATATTATATTAAATTTAATAGTTAAAACTAAATTAATTAATTTAAAATATTTTGGAAGAAAAAATTGATCTTAAGCAGGACTTATGCTTACTGTGCAGATGTTTATTTATGCATATTTGGCTTGATTTAGTTGTGTAACTTGATTTATTTTAATTATTTTTGTTAATGTTACCATAATTATATAATTATGGTAACATTAACAAACTAACAAATTATTAACTTGCACATTTTGGAGCATGCTAATGACTGATAACAATATCTGTGATTATAGTAAGTGAAGTCTCTTGTATAAGGTAATAGTTTTCCTGTAAAAAAGTTTTTGTGAAAGTTTTGTTATTAAAAAGTTCTAATAATAATTAAAATGAGTTACAATATTAATACTTGTTCTATATAAAACATTAATATTTATTTTGTCAGTTGCTAGATAAATGAAAAAATATTAAACATACACTGTATTTATACCATACATGGAATGCCATTATCGACTACTTGTTTTTAATTTGGCTGCATTGCCATTTTACAATGTGTAGATCAACAATCAATGTAGAATCTAAGAGGTAGGACTGTTGGATTTACTTCATTTCACTCTGATAACACTAAGAGGACCTTCAAACTCATTGTGAGTTTGGCCAGGTCACAATGGGTAGTGGAGTGGTGAGAGACTGAGTTCGATATATCCAGAATGGACCATCCCAAAAAATTTCTGTTTTTAATCTGTCTGAATTCATTTCCAGGTTTTCAGAGTGGTAGACCGACACCTTAACTGCTTAGCCATCCAACTGTCATTGAAACTTTATTTAAAAATATGAAATTAGAAGATTAAATTATATTTGTGAATACATAAAGCTGTTTTCAGTAATTATAAGAAGATTGTCTTAATAACTTCTGTTGTAATCAGTGCTTTTTTTTGTCATAGAGTGCAATGGAACAGCATTTCACCACCTTTTTACGACATATTTTAAAAGTTTTAAGAGAATTTTTGAAAATTTGATGTTTGGTGTGCATTGAATCGCTCTGTTGAGCATAGAAGATAGGCAAGAAAATTATTAAGACGGTTCTGCTCCTGCTTATATGTCAAATCTTGTGTACGATGCATGCATACTGCAAACTTAGTTTGTGATGACTGTGACATACTGCTCGGCTCATGTTTGGTCGTGTCATGATTTGGCGGCAATGCAGGAATTGCAGTGCTAATTGTGATCGGTGACTATCATTTTGACTGTTTTATATTTCACTAGTAGCCCAGGATGCCCCCTAGTGGGCATTCCACTACCTTTTTTTTTCCCAAAAAAAAGCACTGGTTGTCATTAATAGAAAATTTTTTTATTTTGAAAACATTTTGTTTTGCAAGTTATTTTTTATTTTACATATTTATGAATTGTTGATCTGGGATGGCTTTAGATTTTGCATCTTGATGCAGATTGTAATGCATTACAAAATGACCTTTCTGTATTCTTGTATTAAGTCACAGACTGTTTAATAATCAGCCAGCAATATATATCTGTACTGTGCCATCTTAACTTTCAGGCACATTGGGCAATTGCTTAGAAAACTCAGAGCAATTTTTGCATGGACCAGAATTTAACACTAATTTACTGATTACCCACTAGTTGAGTAGGGAGAGCCTAGTCTATAATCTGTTAAGATGGCCCTGAATATATATTATATATTCTTTTTACAATATAAACTTTTAATTTCTAATTACTTAAGTACATCTTCCTCATACAATTATATTGTTTTTCATTTAATATATTTTTATCAAATCCGGTCTTTATCTAAACAAATGAAAAATTAATAAACCAATATTTTTAGTACCACTATTGCAATAAGTCCAAAGAGCATAATTATACATTTGTTGGCAAAATAAACTATATTTATTTGAAATAATTATTATTTGGTGTTTGAATGTGTTTTTCTTTTTTATGTATTTCAAGATACACCTAGTATGAATCCTGGATTAGCTGTGATGTGGGAAGAAGAACGCCAAAGACAAGAAAATAATGGGAAGACGTTACAGTTAACACCACCAGCTTCTAATGGTATGTATTTTTATTAACATATACTTAATTCACTTTTTTAATATGGGAATAGCAGGTTTTAATTAAATATTGCTCTTGTTGATAAGACATAACATTATTAGAGTGTTTGATAGCTATGCTATTAAAAATACATATCAACCACTGATTTTCTGGCATGCTTGATTCAGAGCTTTGCCAGATCAATTGAGGTAATGTACTAATAATTTAATAGTACACTCTGGACCACTAATCATAGACATTCCATGCCTCTAAAATATTATGGACTACTAGCTAGATAAATTAAACATATATAGGATTCTGAAAAGAATGTTATTATTTTAAGTTATTGTAACTATGTAACTTATTATCCAAGAATGTTGTAATGTACATTAAAATATTGGAAATCTGTCCAAGTTTCACATTTACTCATTAAAATTTCTCAATGCATGCTCCTTGTCTCATGTCACGCATCCAATCGATACTGAAATTCATCCTATGCTTGCTATGGCATGTCCATTGTCACTCCTTCCATGGCAGCCACAATTTGACAGCTCCTATAGATTATTCATGTTGCACAATGACAAGTGATTTTAACTTTGTGAACTGCAAAACACAAAATGTCTTCTCTGTTGCAGAGTCATCATTTTCATTCACAGCATTTTCTAGAGATAGCAGACAACATGACTTTGGAATGCAAGTGGGAGATGAAACTCTGATTCCTCTACTGATTGGTGTATGTCAGTGGTTCTCAACTGGGGGTACATGTACCCCTAGGGGTACGAGGGTAAAACAAAGGGGTACATCTAACTTTCATTATAAAATGGCTTATGTTAATCAATTTGCTGTAAATTATTAACACAAAAAACAAGAAACAACAAAAACTTGCTTTAAAATATCACAGTGTGAACACCGATTTACCTTTTAACAATCTAAACAACTTGTTTATGCACTTGATTTGCCTGTCTATTTTTGCCGTTAGTGCCGAGTGAACCTGTAGTCTAGTAAAATTATGGTTTAACCGAGCATTAATTTTAGAATAGACATTTTTTTTTTTAATTCTATAATTATTGCTCAATAAGATTGGGGATTTTCATGTTTTTACTGGATTACTGGTATTAAGAATAACAAGGCTTGGATCGTACCCCCACCATGCAATGTGTGTCACTGCATGCGCGCATTACTTGATATTTAGCAAATTTAGACGTTACATTTGTTACAAAAATTGAAAGATTCATGTATTGTTCTGCACGTTATAAATTCGCAACCATTACTTTCAAGGTCAGTACACAATTATAATCTTTATTTAACAACGTGGGAACCAAATTTTGAAAAAATTGCTGAAGATTTATCGCGACAAATATCCCATCAAATTTTGTTAGAAATTACAGTATTGTAGAATAATTTAAATTTTCTTTATCGTTAATTATAATTACTTATTTTTAGGAATTGTAATTTATGCATGTATTGAAATGACTTCTGTGATTTTATATAATATACTTGTCAAGTAATAATAAATAAATGTATATACCTAATTAAATTTATTATTATTTAGGTAAAATAAGTAATTCACTTTTAGTTATAGTTAGTTAGTTAGAGTTTTCTTATGGCGCTCAATTATAAGGGCTGTATACATGTAAAGCAGTAATTATAAAATTTACATACAAAAATATAAGAAGTACTTGAGAAACAACTAATGGGCTAATGGGGTACATCAACAAAAAACGTTGAGAACCACTGCTTTAGATGATAAACGAAATTGGATATTTAAATGTTAGTTCAATTTCCCGTGCACTTTTAATTGGTGGCTCTTATCGTACTGAAAGAATATGGAATTACTCAGAACTATATTTTGGTCCACTAGAAAACATTGGATTATTAAATGCAATTTTATTATTTAAATTAATGATTCTCAGTCCACTTATAAATTATCAAAAGCAAAATAATTTTTAAATAAAAACTTTATATTTATTTTTAATTTAAGCAAAATATTATGACGTGTATGAAATTGTTTTCCTCTTCGTTCCTTATGCTATAAAAACATGACAGCTATTTTATTTTTTTTACACGTAAATCCCTTTTATAAATGTATCAGCTGATTAATTACATACTTTCTTATAATTGTTTAATAATTTTTCATTTGAAAATTAATGAATTCTCCTACGGATTTAATTATAAGTTTTATAAACAAACATATCAAATATAAGTTTATAAATTAAAAGTAAAAAAAAAAAAGTAATAGGAAACAGCGAATAAAATCTAGAATATGCCGAATTAGACTACATAGAATTTTAATTTTAAAAAAATTTATTTATTTTTTGACAAAGCTATTGAATGTAGAATTAAATAAAAAGAAAGTTTATAAGAATGGAAAATTGGCAACAATCTTTATCATAAAAAGATTTAGAATAAAATAAAAAATTAAGAAAAAATCATGCAGTGATTATCGAGCAAGAATAAAATGTAACGTGGTTATATTTGACAAATCGGTAATGACACAGCAACAGAAATTAAGGTTGGAATGCCAAAAATTCGACAGAAGGATACGAAAAAAAGAAAAAAATCTCTTAGGAAAATAACGGATGAAAGAAACGTTGCATGATAACATTAGAAATGAAATGATATTACTTGATATAAAGGAAATCAAAAGACAGAATTAAGAGTAGATTATGCAGTAGAATGAAAACACGAAGATAATAGAATGATGAAAATGTAGAGAACGACAAAAGAAAGAAAGTGACGCCCTAAAACTGATGTAGAGATTGCGTTTAATTATATTGTAGCAACAGGTTGCGATCAAAGTGTACAAACCCAAAAGAAATTTAACTGCTTCGTAACATGTACTTATATTTTATTTAGAATAATTTTTGTGTATAATGTGCAGGGAGAAAATAATAATAATAATTCCATTGAAGAGATTAATTTTTCAAAAAATCTGGGATTTAAATTATCGAAATCGAATCTTCGAAACAAATTTTCAATTTTAGAAATAGTTTTATAAAAACATCTGCGCGATTCAATTTTGTCTGTTGTTATAAATGAAAGAATAATAGACATGTTCAAATTTAAATGCCATTTGTGTCCTTAATTTATTAATTTAAACTTTAAACGTCAACTAGGACTTATTTATTATTAGGACTTATTATACTAGTTCTGCAAATTAAGTAAACAAAGTCAGAAGAGTGCTTATTATAATTAACTTCTTTCCAACTTTTTATTTATTTGATCCTATATTATATTATATTATAATGTGATAGGATAATATTTATATTGAAATATAATCGAATAGAATTGTTAAAAGTATAGTGCTGTCAGCAGCTAGATATCTATCCATATTATACGTTAATTTTAAATCATATTATAGCTACATACATTAAGCATGTTGTTTTCGGGTTTCTATATGGATTTGCTTTAAAAAGTGTGATTATTATAGTCTAAAAGTTTTTTACATAATCTAACTGAATAGGGCTGGAGTAATATATCCGAAGTGCATTTAGGAGTGTGTAAAAAATGTAAAGAAATGGTTATTTATCGTTATAACTCTATATAATCCCAATATGTGATAAGTTTGATTGGATAGAATTGGATTTATGAAATAAGACAATGCTATACATTCGACACCTGCCAAGAGAGGTGGGTGAGTAACACCTATTTAGGTGTTGTTACGTGAATAACGCGCAGAAAATTTCACGTGGTCAGCCCGTTGGTGAGGCGCTAACCCGCAACCAATCACTTCTGTTTAGAGGTTTCATTCACTCGGCTACAGATGGGCAAAAACTTTGATAGAAATGCAGAGAAAGTAAGAAAACAGAAATGCGACAAATAAATAAGCATAATACGAAAACTTTAGCTTATATTGTTTTTGAGAAAGTTTTAAAATGACGTTTTAATGCAGTTTGGAGAAATAATTTATAAATTAAAACTGATGAACTAGTAATAAGATTATCTATGTACTGCATTTATATATACAGGTTGATCTCTATGGGTGGAGATAATTTGAAAGTTTTAATAAATACATTGGTTGTTTGAAGTTCAAATTTTGAAGTAAGGCGTAAGTTTCATTGGGTTCTTTTATCACTTGACAAAAGTGAAAGTTGCACGGCAATGGAGTTTAGTAAGCAAAATTTGAGAGTACGAGGGTTGTTAAATACGAGTTTTAACCTGTTTATGGTTTCAGAAAACTACACTCCTTTGGTCGTGTGATCCTAAGAACGAAGCCCGTATTTCTCTGAATTAGTGCGTAACCCAAGGAAAAGTCTGTGACGGTTGTCCTTGGAGTTGACTCTACCAAACACGACACGTCAACGCACTGTTCGGCATTATCTTGTACACGCTGTAAACAATACTGGTTCATTTTTCAGGTACGTTGAACAATCCATTCACATGTGTGTAGCTGAATTAACTCAAAGGACAGTGCAGTATCCATTTCTGTTACGTAACAAAACTCGGTCAAAGTCACGTCTTATTTGCCGTTTCTCAGAATTTAAACTTTAAACTACTAGTCTACTAATGTGTTCGTTATGATACAGCTTCAAAATTATCTCCATCCAAAAGGATTATCCTGTAAATTACAATATTTCAGTAATTAAAAACGTTCACATTCCTCTGATTGATATTGTTATCTATCCCGTTATTTATACAATCATTATAATAGACTATTGTTAGAACTCTAATATTACAACTTGATTATAATCGAAATATTCGAATCTGCTAAATGTTATACCAACTTATAAGAGTTTGTTTGTTTCTATGTATTTGCCAGTTAACATAGGTGCCAGATGCACTTTTCAATCTGTAGTATATCTATGTATTGTATAAATATAGCAAAAGAAAATTTACGTAAATCTCAATAAGACACTGTTGTATCTAATTTATAATATACTACATAAGTTAATGATTAATGACATTAAAACAGAAATGAAAATATATTAAAAATTTTTTTTAATTCAATATTATTTTCTTAATTTTGTTTTATTTAAGAAGTCATATGGTATGGTATCATAAGCAAAAATCTAGCAGGAATATACTAATAAATGCAAATATAATACAATATTCGATTATAATTTCTCGGTATTCAATAGGATATAACCAGGATTTGATGGAGTTAAATTTAGATATGATCGAATTTTGTTGGTTTCGCTCTTCTTTTAAGTAATTCAAAATGGAATGAAATTTAACGTGTTATTTAGACACGTTGAAGGGAAATCTAAGAATTCAATTTATATTTTTAGGTTTCCAAAGTCCTTGTATATTGCATTGCATTGTTATCGTTGAAATTCAGCATATTTTGTAGAATTCAGCTTCCTTTTAAAGGAAATATATATATTTTTTTGTTAATGTCTTTGCTCACTGCGTAAACAGTAAGCAAAATATGCTTTATTACAAATATTGGCAACAAATTATCCTAAAAAATGTTTAAATCCTATCATAAAACAGTTTTTTAGTTGCCTGAACGCCTAGTCATGTTAGTTAGTTATTTCTATTTGTTACAAGTGTCTTATTTGATATACGAATAAAATATATTTTTGTAAATTATACATTTATAAAAATAATAATAAAAATAGAATTAGTATACAAATGTATATATGCATTCACACTGCGCAACAATATACAAAAAAAACCATACTGTAATACACTACAGTAT